ATATATATATATATACAGAAAGAGAGAGAGGGGAGAGAGAGAGAAGAAGAAGAATATATATATGAAGAGAGAGAGAGAGAAAAGAAGAAGAAGAGATAGAAGGAGAGACAGAAAGAGAGAGAGAGGAGAGAGAAAGAGAGGAGAGAGATAGAGAGAGAGAAGAAGAAGAGAGAGAGAAAAGAAGAGAAAGAGAGAGAGAAGAAGAGATAGAGAGAGAGAAGAGAGACAGAGAGGAGAGACAGAGAGAGAAGAGAGAAGATATATATATCTATAGATATAGATATATATACATATATAGACAGAGAGACAGAGAGGGGAGAAAGAGAAAAAAAGAATATATATATATATGTATATGGAGAGAGAGAGAGAGAGAGAGAGAGAGAGAGAGAGGAGAGCAGTTAAGTTATCCTGGGGGAGATGGATGTAGCTATGGTGGACAGCTCTTGCTTTTTTGTTTTTAAACCTAACCCTCCTGGATGACCAGCGGTGCAAGAGGATTTGTATTTTGCCAGGACAAGCTTTTCTCTGGGAGGAGGAACCCACAGCCTAGAACCCACAGCCTGCAGACCTAGTTACCTCTTCCTCTCCCCTAGAACTCCCAGGCCCCCACACAGAGAAGCTAGGCACGTTGTCACTACAGAGGAACCCAGATCACAGCCTCAAAGAGATGATGAGGACTCAACAATAAGTGGGTCAGTGGGCAAATCCAAGTGGCTGCCTTGGAAGGTGGCGACTGCTCCTTCCTTGGAGGACTGCAGGCAGAAACTGGACGACCTGTCAAGAAGGTTATGGCAGGAATTTCTGTGGTCAATGGCTCATACTAGGTTGACCCTGCAGCTCCTTCCAACCCCCAGATTGTGTGATCCAGCCGCTCTTGTGACCTTGGGCACTCTTCCTCTCTCTCGGCCTCAACTTCATTCTCTGTAAAGTGAGGAGGTCAGACCAGCTTGGCTTTGAGCACTCACATCCCACGCTTCTGAAAGCTAGATTCAGAGATTCTTCTCCAGGGGTCTCTGGACTCTGTTTTGAGGATCTCAGCTAGGTCTGAGGAAGAGCAGTGAAGACTGAATTTGAGCAAAGCTCCATCTAGTGCTGTATGTCGTGGTGGCCTCCATTATTGTCAGTGTGATGCCTCTTATCATGGTGTGACAGGTCTCAAAAGTACAATCTTTTTTCACACTGAATTTCTTACTGACTGATTTCCTTTTGACTCTCCCTCATTTCTTTCAAGCTGTGGTCCTGGAAGCCTATATTCCTAAATACACACCTGCTTCAAACAGAGGACCTGGGAGCTCTCAGGAGGAAGGAATAGCTTTGGGTAGGGTGGTTTTTTGTAGCCCCTGAACAGTGAAAGCTCTGGAAGTTCCTACCATAGGTTTCATAGGCTCTAGGACAGGAAGGGACCTTAATGGTTTTCCAGTCCAACCCTTTCATTTTATGGAGGAGCAAACTGAGATCCAAAGAGGGGAAATGTCAAAAGCCACAGTAGCAGTAATACACAGAGTCAAGATTTGAACCCAGTGTTCTTTTCATCATATCCCAAAGATGCAAAAGACCATAATCCATTTGCAGATAAAATGGACGAATCATCTCTGGCCAATTGCGAGAGAAACACTTAGGGACATTTCAAACTTGAATGAAATTTTAGCAAAAACACAGAAAAAGGACAATTAATAATACAACCCTCCAATTACCTCTGAACTGGCTAAGAAGGAGTCAGAGTACCTTACCCTTCTCTTGACCAATCTTCTCAATAATTTTGAATGGGTAGATCACTAACTTGGGCTGAAATGCACTGGAATCAATTAAGGATTTGAATAGGACCTGGGTCTATGAGTCATCAAAATAGGGAACTCCCACTACCTATGCAAGTGAGTACTTTCTTTGCAATTTACAGTCTTAGAGAGTCTTCTGGGGGACTAAGAAGTCAAGTGACTTGACCACAGTTAGACAGCCAGGATGGGTCATAAGTAGGATTTGAACCCAGCTCTTCCTAGCCACAAGGCCAGCTTTCTAGCTACTAAGCAATGCTACTTAATTCTATGAAGCAAATATCTGCATGAACTTGAAGGGCTTTGAGCCCTGACCAAAAAAAAAGTTTATCTGTGAAGTGTGGTGTAAAGCCTTGCTAAGTCTAGAGACTCTCATTGATCACCAGGTGATGACTTATTAAATTTTTTTTTGGCTACACCTACTAATGAAGATAGGGAAGGCCTGGAGGGTTGGGCTCTGCTTTGATTGGAGGGTGCACCCACACCCATGAATCCTGGAAGTATCATCTCATAACCCTGTGAGGGACTTGGGCTTTCTCCACAGGAGGGAAAGAGGAGACACTAACTCATCCATCTATGTTTAAACTTGCTAATTTAGCAGAATGATGGTAGCTAGAAGTACTGACTCAGGACCTTGGCTGGCAAGGGCCAAAAGGATCCTAGCTTTGAATGAGAAGAGACATCCAGAATTGGGCCTAAGTGTCCTGGCTTTTTTTTTTTTTTTAAAGGCAGAATGATAGATGAAGTCTATAGGCTGTGAAATCTGGGTAGGTCACATCAGTGGTGTTTTAGGAGAATATTCCCAGGGTCTGCCACTTGATAATTCAGTTCTCTGGACTTGGATCCTGGTTGATTTTGACCAGCTGGTGTGATGTCACACAAATTTAGGAGGATGGAGGAAGAGCACAGTACCTGGAACATAGTAGGTACTTAATAAATGCTTATTCCCTCCCCCCCTTTCATTTGCCTGAGCCAAGCACGATATCACTCCTTTTCTGGGCCTCTCTCAGGGTTCTACAGTACTCCTTTCCTCCACATCCTTCAGGGTGAAATCCTGACTCTCTTGGGGACAACTCACCCCTTCTCCAGACTTGACTGTACCAGTGAGTAGGTTGTCCTTTGGGCAACACCCTCTCCCTCATCTGACCATCATCTTTGGTACTTTCACTCCCACTCCATCCCCCAAATCTGTTACACTCTTTTTGCCCTAGGTAGAAAAAATTTCTGATAACTGGTGAGGAGAGGAACAGGAAACATTGTAAGGACAAAAGGCAACTCTTGCTCTATCCTCCTGTTCCTGTGATCTCCCCACATCTCCTCTCCCCCTTCCTTCCAGCCCCCTGCTTTACCTCCCTCTCAACACCTTTCCCTTTCTCCCTCAAATCCCTCTCTATTCCTGTTCCTTTTCTCTTCCCTCATACAAACGGTTTTTGCTGTTCCTCATACAAACCACACTCCATCTCCACTGTGCCTGGAATTCCTTCCTTCCTCATTTCCTCCTCTTGGAACCTCTGGTTTCCTTAAACACTCAGCCCAGGAGCTACCTTCTGCACCAAGCCTTTCTTTATTCCCTTAGCTCCTTATTCCTCCTCATCCCACAAAGTTACCTTGCATGGTAGGTGTTTAATAAAATGCTTATGGCAGTACTTGGAGATGTTTGGGACAGAGCATGATGGACTTGGAGCCAGGAAGACCTGGGCTGAAGCTTCTGTTACATGATATTTGTGTGACGAGCTCGTTAATCTCACTAAGCCTCAAATTTCTCATTGGTAAAATGAGGGAGTTAGACTTGGTGACCTTTAACATCCCTTCCAGCTCTAAATCTATGCTCTATCATTTGCTTCTCTTTTACCTCCCTTTCTACTTCTGTCTCCTCTGCCTCCCTCTCCTATTTTCCTCCTTTCCTCTCTTTTTTCATCCCCTTCTCTGTCAGTTGTCTCCCCCTCAGTCCTCTTTTGTCTTTCTCTTCCTTTTCTCTCTTCTCTCCTTCCTTGCCCTTCCCTTCTATCTTCTCCCCATCTTTCCTACTTTTTCCTCCTTCCTCCTTTCCTCTTTTTCCCTCCCCTTCCTTTCTATGCTATCCCTTCTTTCCTTTTTTCTTCCTCCTTTCCTCTCTTTTCTTCCTCTCCTTCCTTTCTATGCTCTCTCCTTTCTTTTCTTTCTTCCTCTCCTCCTCACCTTTCTTCTTTGTCCTTCCCTCCTATTATCTCCCCTCTCTTCCTCTCCTTTCTCTTTTCTTTCCTGTCCTTCCCTTTTTCTCTGAACTCTGTGTGTCTGCTCCTGGGGGAGAGTGGGCTCTCTCCCTGCCTCTTGGCAATGAGCGTGTGTTGCAAGGCCTTTGGGGAAGGCAGGCGGGAGGAAGGTGTCCTCACCTGAGCAGTGCTTCTGCAGGCGCAGAATCTCCAGGTGCAGGTCTCGAAGCAGCTCCATCTGCTCCTTCTTCAAGAAGGCAATGTGCCGCTGCACACTCTGGATCTGATGCTCCAGGGACACAGTCTCCATCGCAACCCTGGGCCCAGGCCTGCCTAGGGAGGGAGAGAGTGGTAAGACACACATACTCCTTGATCCTATCAGCCTTGGTTCCCGATCCATCTTCCAGCCTCCCATTTCCACACACCTGTGCTGGGCGACTATGGTCTCCAAATTGAAGTTTCATCAACAATACTCCGGAGGCCTGAGCTACCCTTCATTATATTCCCTTCAGATCCTGAGGGTCCTGATTTCCTCAGCCTTTGTGGAACAGAGAACCTGAGTTTGAATCCTATCTCAGACATTCGTTAGATATGTGACTCTGGGCAAGTCAATTAACCTTTCTCAGCCTCAGTTTCTTTACCTATAAAATGGGGAGAATAATAGCACACAACTCACAAGTTGTTATGAGGATCAAAGCACCTATATAAATGTTATCATCCTCATCACTACATCCCTCCCCCTTCAATAAACTCCAATGTATCCTATTACCTCTAGAATCAAGTAGAAACTCCTTTGTTTGGCATTTAAAGCCTTTCACAGTCTTGCCCCAGCCTGCCTTTGCAGCCTTATTAGGTATTACTTCCCTTCACGCACGCTAAAATCTAGCCGCCTACGCCTTCTTCCTGTTACACATGCAGGACTCCTGGGTTTCTATCTCTGTGCCTTTGGAATGCACTTTCTCCTCCCCACATCTGTTTCTTAGAATCCTCAGTTTCCTTAAAAACTCAGCTAAAAAGAAAACACCTCAGCTTAATTGAGACCTTCTATGTGAAGCCTTCCTCACGCTCTATGCTGCTAGTGTTTCCTGTCTCAAATGATCTTATTTGGAACATATTCTGTATGTAGTTATTAATGTCTATGTTGTTCCCCCCCCCCATAAAATGTAAGCTCCATGACAGTAGGGACCAGTTCATCTGTGTACCACCAGTGCCTAGCACAGTGTTATTAAGCACACAATAAGTGCTTAACAAATGCTTATTGATTGAATGGGGTGGGGAAATCCCTGAGTAGCTATAGATGCCAGGACCAGAAATACCAGAGCCCATTTCTCTGCTCTTTTCCAACCTCACCCTGCCCCCTGCCCAGACGTGTAACTTCAGTTACCTCCCTGTTCTCCAGGGCTCAGTGAGGACCAGGGTGAGGGGCTTTGGATGGCATCCTTCATGCATACTGGACTGCCTCTGGATCCATATATGATCTATATCTTGTCTTTTCTCATACTATTCCCTATGATGAAAATTCTACCTATCCTTCAATGCCCAGCTCTGGTACTGTTTCCTTTTTTGACCCTTCCCTTCCATCATGATGTTTTTTTTTTTTAAACTTGGTTCCTTATATTCATCTTCCACTCTTATTGTGTATTATTCTACATTATAAATATTTGTGTGTGTGTCATCTGTCTGTACTAGACTGTGAGCACCATGAGGGGAGCACCACATCTTCTTTATCTTTGTAGCTTCCCTAGTTAGTGGTATTATTTCCATAAACTTCGGTGGTCATGTACTTCTATGGATACACGGTCTCCTCCAATGATGCAGGTTGCAGCCCATACATGCTACCCCATTCTGTAGGGCTTTTGTCATTAATCATTAATCTTCCAATGGGTGGTAGTAGGGCCACTGAGCATACTGGGGGCCTTTCTCTAGTTCTCTTGACATTGCATGCTTGCCAACAGGTCATATGGGCTGCTCAGTAATTATCCTTGGCTCCTATTCCTTGACTGGCAATCCACTTTTTTCAGTTTTACATCTCTTGCACAATTAGTTGTTGGGAATGAATTGTTGCTTCCTCTTCTCTGTGCTCTGGTCACTCCCAATGTGAGTTCTTCAGAGGCTAGGGTATTCCGTGACTTGCAGCTATATATTTTTTCTTTTCACCAGATGGGTAATTTTATCTATGTATAGAGTTCCTAAGGCAGCTAGCCAGCAGTGGATAAAGTGCTAAGCCTGGAGTCAGGATGACTCACCTTTGTGAATTCAAATCCAGCCTCAGACACTTACTAGTTGTGTGACCCTGTGCAAATCATTTAGCCTATTTGCCTCAGTTTCCTCATCTGTTAAATGAGCTGGAAAAGGAAATGGCAAACCACTCCAATGTCTTTGCCAAGAAAATCCCAAATGAGGTCGTGAAGAGTTAGACACGCCTGAAACAACTGAACAACAACGGAACAAAACGGACAGAGCCCCTGCTACCAATGTGGGTGAGACTACAGACCACGTTGCTCTTAGCACCTTCTCTGTAACTGCTGTCATCCTTATACAAAGTATCAGGATAAGGAGCGAGTCTGTGATTTCGGTGATATGGGGAACTCTCTCTACCAAGTCAGGCTGACACCTCCTCTGAATCTTATTGTCTTAGAAAGACATTCCTGAAACCCTGAGAGGGTTAAGTGAATTTTTTTTAAGGCAATTGGGGTTAAGTGACTTGCCCAGGGTCACGCAGCTAGTGTCAAGTGTTTGGTCTGAGACCAGATTTGAACTCAGGTCCTCCTGATTTGGGGGCCAGTGCTCTTTCCACTGCGCCACTTAGCTGCCCCCAGAGGTTAAGTGAATTGTGAAGGGTCACATGGACCTGGGTGTGTCAGAAGCAGACCTAAACCAAGGTTTTCCTGACTCAGAGGCTAGTTCTCCAGGCACTATGCCATGCATAGTGTTTGGTTAATATAATAGGAGATTAATAAATGCCTTTTTCATTCATCCATTCATACAAAAAATGTACTTTTGCTTTAAGCAAAACCTTGGGTCATTAAAAGCACTGGACAATTTCTCCTTTTGGATGGGCAATTCAGCCCATTTGGATTGGTCTTCTAGCTCAGTCCTCACTCATTACCTGTGCACAGTCTGTCTGAGATCAATGGATAAATGGAACAGTTCTATGGGCTATCCATCCACACACAGCCCATGAAACTGCACAGAAGCCAAACTTAATGAATGGTTGTTAAATTAATTAAATGATTACTCTGTATGCTTTTGTTTTTCGTCCTTTGTTTTCAAGAGCATCAGTGACGTCACAGTGCTGTGGTCAGGGTACAGTGTGTTGGACTGTGGCTGAGCACTCCAGTAGGAGTTTGGAAGTCTCTACCACAAGTCAGGCAGAAGTAGTCCATTAGAACATTGGGGATGGAGATGGCTCTGGGTTTGAGCAGCTCATGTTTCCTTTGCGCTAATGTGATTTGCTTTGCTCATGGAAGAAAGTATTTTCTTTGATGAGGAAATGTCATGCTGGGCAGTCCTGTGCCAGCATCTCCCATGTCTCATCATTGATCCTAAAGTTCTCCAGAGAGGTCATTCATGAGGGCTTATGGAGTGAAATTTGGTTGCCCAGAGAAGTTCATCAGTATTATATGCCATTTTCATGATGGCATGCTCACAAAGGTTCTGAATGAAATAGACCTGTGTATTTGTTCCCGAGCTTTTTACCATGATGTTTTGTGATGTTGTCAGACACTTTCAACAAGGACAAAAATGGCATCAAGGTCAGATACTGCACTAATGGTAAACTATTTAACTTGCAAATGCTACAAGCCAAGACCAAAGTGGAGGGACAGCTGGTGTGTGACGTTTTGTTTGCAATCACTCAATGCAGCCTCTGAATCCAAGATGCAACAGAATATGGATTGATTCTCTGCTGCTTGTGCTAATTTTGGCCTGAATATCAACACCAACAGTGGTCCTCCAGCAGCCAACATAACACCATCCATACATGGATGGAGCCATTGGTCAGAGCAAATGGAGAAGTTTTGAATGCTGTGGTTAAGTTTACTTACCTTGGCAGTATACTTTCCAGGGATGTACACACTGATAATGAGGTTGACACATGCATTGCTAGAGCTAGCTCAGTGTTTGGGAGGCTCCAAAGAAAGTGTGGGAGAGAAGAGGTATTAGGCTGCCTACCACACTGAAGGTCTATAGAGCCATTGTGCTGACCTCATGTTTATACGAAACAGTCATACTACTAGTGCCATGCCAGGAAACTGACCTGTTTCCACTTGAATTGTCTTGGGCAGATTCTGAAGATCACCTGGCAAGGTAAACTACTAGACACTGAGGTCCTTTCTAGAGCTGAACTGCCAAGCATTCAAATTCTACTGCAGAGAGCGCAACTCAGACGGGCTGGCCATGGTGTTTGAATGCCAAATGTACATTGGCCTAAGAGACTCTTTTATGAAGAAATCACACAAGGCAAGTGCTCACACAGTGGTCAGAAAAGTGGTACGAGGACACTCTCAAGGTCTCTCTGAAGAACTGTGGAATTAATTGTGAGGCTTTGTATGCTAGTCTACGTGTGAAAGCTGGGCTATCATCTGAAGTCCTTCTCTTCTACTCCATTGTGACCAGTTGTTGACTAGTGGTGAGGGCAGAGAGAGGAAAGCGGGGAGGGGGGATTTGTTAAATGATTCAGGGAGCCTCTGGAAGAGCTCAGGAGGAAACTGAGTGTCTCAGGCAGGAAGTGACTAGCCAAATGTCACGCAGTTATTAAATGGGATCATAGCATATATGATCTGGCCCCCATAGCTTAGAGGCCATCTGGTTCAACTTCCTCATTTTAGAGAGATCCACCTAAGGGGAAGACCCAATGGCTTGATTCTCTACCCCTTGATCCTTGATTTTCCCTCTCCCCAAATGAGACAGGCATCATCACGAATTTCTGCTTCAGGGAATACAGGTATGTTGCCATGGGTGCTACTGTCCTTTCCTCCCCCTCCCCCACCATGGTAACCTGGCTACTCCCTGAACTTGGACAAAAATGATGCTTTAGGGGCAGCTAGGTGGTGCAATGGATAGAGCACCAGCCCTGGAGTCAGGAGGACCTGAGTTCAAATCCAGCCTCAGACACATAACACTTCCTAGCTGTGTGACTCTGGGCAAGTCACTTAACCCCCATTGCCTCACTAAAAAAAAAAAAAAAGTACATTAAAAATGATGCTTTAAAGCACATCCTTGCATTCAAGTCCTTTCCTAGCATGTCGAGTGGGAAGGGAGTGGAGGGAGACATTTTGTTCTGAGGGTTTTTTTGGGGGTGGGGATCGT